GACCACGGAGCAATACAAAGATTTCTTTGACTGGTGAAGTTGTCAGGCACAAAAATGTATTAATTGACTTTGGTTAACTCATAGTTACTCTGCTTATCCCTAGACTAGGGTAAGAGGGGTAAGACGGAACCAGCCCCATGTGCCAACTTCTGGGGGGAGGGGGAAGGGAGGTGAAAAAATACCAGCCCAGCCACAGCCCCTGCCCAGTGTGTTACTGTTGCCAAGGGCAGAAACCTTAAGTTACACCTCTGGCTTCAGGAATGTGTATGAAAAGGACAGGTGTGGAATAACCCACCATGTTCGAGCATGTAATTCCTCCTGTGGGCTGGTTTAAAATTCACCCAGATGTGAGCACTAACATTTGAGATCCTAAACAGTGCCAATTCTTGTACCTTAATAATCACAGAAAGCCAGGACCTCATCAGCGGCATGATGAGAGTCAACACACCTTCCTTTCAGGGGAATTGTTCTTTGGCTAGAGTATTTGCCAGTTCTGGGAAAAAGCATTCTCTGTGGGAGGGCTTAGCTCATCACCTTCTGCAAATAATATTGAATAGGAGGCAGTAATTGTATTATCCTGGAGAGGAGGGAGAGGGAAAGAGGCCTGGCTTCTGCATGAGGAAGAAAGCACTGGAGTTAACAGCAGGAGATAATATTACACAGATTTCTTCTGGGACCATAGTGCTACAGCCCTGTAGAGGAAATGGTGTGTTAGACCATAAGCTCCCCAGGGCTGCTGCTTTGCAGATTAGTGTGTTGTGCGCAGTGATGCAGATAACCACAGACCCAGTTGCCAGTCTGTTGTGATTGAATTAAAGAAGTTCTGGCCAGGGATTGTCAACTTTCCCAAACAACTGACAAATCCAGTTCTTAAGCCCCTTCTCCCACCACACCCCACATTCATTTTGCAGCCTACATTGCTTCTGGCTACTTGAAAATATTCCAGTCAGACGCATTTCATGTGAATAGATGGCAGAGTCACAATATGAAACATTTTTGAGCGTTAAAAAAAATCCATGTTGGAAGTTGCCTGCCCTGAAAAATATCTTTCTCCACCTCATTGTGTCACATTGTATTACTGCATGATACTTCACATTAGCATACCAGATATGGCTACAGTGAACCATATCCTATATCAAAGAAGTGAGTGAATTGATAGGGGGAAGGAATAGAGTTAGAATGGGCCACACAGCCTTTGCTTCTATGTCATTAATTGAAATCTTGCCTAGGTTAGTTGCATATGTAAGTCACTGTTGTTGGATGGTTTGTCCATGGGAGATTTTAATTTTAACAGCTGTCATTTATTTCCCAGTGTCCTGCCTTCCACCTGCCCCATGCAGCTGGCCTCCATGTTTAGCCTGTCAGCTTTCCAGGTGACAGGTCCAGTTGTATTTGTCCACCATAAAACAGCCTGAGAGAGCAAAGTTTATTGGTATATGCCTAATTGCAGCTCCATCAAATCCATTTCAGGATGAAACATGAGGAATGGGTGTTCAGTGCCACAACCTACTGCAGTCCTGAGGCAGGGCAGCTATACCCTTATTATCAGACTATGAAGGCCCACTTATCCAACAAACTCACTTCTTGAACCCAGTTTGTCTTGTTTAAACCACTGCTGCAAAAGTAGGGGATTAGTACACATTTGTTTTTTTTCTCGGGGACTAGACTTCGAGATAGTGATGGTCCTGAACCGCACTGGGCCACTTTCACAGTCTGATTCCTCTCTCTGAAACCAGGTTGATCAAAAGTAACTCCCACAAAGTGAATCATTTTACTAGTGTGAAGCGAGTGTCAAAGCCCTACTGTCCCATATAAAACAGATGCATTCACATAGACAGAAGAGTACAATCTATGTTTGTGTGGGTGCTGGTAACACACTAAACTGTACATCCCTTCAATTTCTATGGATTCTGACTTTCAATTAAACCCCTTTGGCTAGCTCAGCAGTTCCCAACCCTGGGTCATGACCCAAATGAGGGTCATGGGGGTAATGCTAGCGGCATCGCATATAAAAGATGAGCCATGCCACGTGCCAGGAGCAATCCTGCCCCCACCCCCAGGTCACTGCCACAGCTGCAAGTCACTTGTTCCATCTGTTACTTAACTCTGCTGTGTCTGCTTCTCTCTGAAACCTGAGAAAGGGTACAGTGGTGCCTGGAAGCTTGTCTAATTCCCACCCAGCTATACAGTTGGTCCAATAAAAGATTCTTGCCTCTCAGTCATTATTTGACAGAATTTCTTGCCTGGACTGAGCAGAACTCTGCAAGGCTGGTTTAAATTTTGCAGACTCCTTGTGGCTGCGTTATTCTGGCTGAACATTTCCAGAGAAGTATTCTGGAAAGCAATTGCATCAGAAAGTGGAGTGGGGTGTGGTATGTGTTGGGACTGAGGATAAGGCAGTGATCTAGGAATGAGGAGACCAGCATTCTTTTGTTAGTAATTGACCTGCTGTGTGACCACAGGCAAGCTGTCTTTCTTTCCCCACTCTTTCACCTATTTAGCCAGTGTAAGCCCTCTGAGTCAGAGACATCTCTCCCAGTGTGTTTCTCCACCATGCCCATCACAATGGATTTTGCCCCTGATCTGAGGCAGGGCCTCAAGGCCTTTACTGCATAATAAAGGGAGTATAAAGCATGGTAGATATGCATGACTGCAGAACTCCATCAGATGCCACTATGGCTACCAGCAGAATTTGAGTGTTTCATTAGCAGTAGTAGTAATATGGACTTCTGTAGCACCTTTTCTCTGAGGATTTTGAAGAACTTTGACTAGTGAAATGCCTTGTGTCCAGGGCGTATTTAATCCAAGGTTTAGTCCTAATGCTGACTATCAGATACCAGTATTAATCTGCCATTGATTACAGAAATAAGCATTAATAGCTAGTATGATGGAGTAGCAGGAGAGAACTGATGGGGATTCTTGGGTTACTCTGGAGTGAAAGATATAGACAACTAGATGGAGACTCAGGAGAACTGAATGAAATAAATGCCTAAAAAGAGAGAGACAGAATAAGGATTAAATGGAAGGATGAAGTGCCAACCCGTTGCAGGATGTACCTCAGTTTCTTGGGAGCTGATCAGATGCTCTGCTTGACTGAAGGAACTACATATTTCAGTGTAGATGGTTCTGCTTCAGGGCTTGAAATGCTTGAACTGCAATTACACTTACAGGGAAGTTCCCCTGAGCAAGGACGCCACTGATATATTTATTTGATACAAATGTTGCCTATGTAAGTCTGATAGTAGATCGTTTTTAAATTGTAATGGCCTTATAAATCATCAGTTAAGGCTGTGCTCCTGCTGTACATGCACCTGCTGAGAGTTAATAGGGGATGAAAAGGGAATGCTGTTCTGTGTTTGTAGCACTTTTACTCACTGATGAGACAGGAGCTACTTAGCCATCGGGTTGAACACATGCACAGGAAGCCAACTGTCAGGAAGATATGAGTGGCATTGGCCACATGGGGATAGGACAAACAAAGGTAGAAGCAGAACAGTTAACTAGCAGGACGGGGGAGAGAGAGAGAGAAATGCATATAGGTATGTATTGAAGGAGAATTTCCTATTTGTTGGCTGCAAATATGAACTTGCAATATTTTATTACCTGCTGCTCTGTTTTCAACAGGCTTAGAAGGAACTCCTGGTTTATCTCTTGGTTCAGTATTGCCTGGAACTGTGGCTGTTATCTGATGCAGAAGATTCTTCGTGGGAGCTGTGATCCATGCTGGTCAAACAGATTAGCAGCTTGTCATACAAACTGAGTGTCGGGCACAACTGGAATGTGGACCCTGAAGGATCTCAGCCCGTGTGATCAGGAACAGACAAGGTCTGGGAAGGAAGAGTCCAGACTGAAGGCAGAGGATCAGGAACAGGAGCCTAGGGGCAGAAGTTATACACAAACCAGTGTAAGTGATTGGAAACCAGTTTAAATCTGTAATGCAACAGAAGTTCATTGCACATAAACTGCTTTCAAAAGGCCAAAACCAATTTAAGATAAACCAGAATGGATGTAGTATCAGGCTTAACTGTTTAGGGAAAATCAGTTTATTGAACTTCTGTCCCACATCCCCTCCAGATTCAAGTTAACTCATGGTTTCCGAGCATCCCAGGATGCTTTGCATCTTCCCACAAACCTCCTGTGATGGTATCACTTATGTCTAAGGTTTTATTTTAGCCCTTATTTCTCAGATTGCCCAGTCTTGGGACTCCTGCTGTATATTCCGACTCTTTCCTGCCATGTCTTGATTAATTTGGATGTTGTTAGTCAGGTGTTACTTAAATTTCTTTTCTGCAGTTGGACACTGCCAATCTACATAGAGATTTATCTGGGTTATAACCTCTCCTGAATCTCTCAGATGACACCCAAAAATCACATCATCAATTGAATCAGAGTCTTATTTGCATTATATAATTTTCTTTATTGTTTATTGATTTATTTTTTTTTACATCTATAAGCAGCTTACAATCAAACAAACTGTAGTTATTTCCCACCATTGCATGTAACTCTTAATTTTTACCTTAGAATTATTTAGTTGGATCTAGTCTCAGATAATATACAATTTAGGGTAAAGGTAACTGAACCATTCAAACGTGACCAGGATACTTTTTCTGTTTCATATCTGTCTTTTTCTTGAAATTCCCTCTATCTCCAGATGAGATCTGGACTCACTAGATTCCTTGGGATACTCCCATTTTTGTTCTGTTTTGTTTTTAAGACTGAGGGAGTAGCCGTCACTCAGGCTCCTTCTCTTCTCAAACCCCCTACAGCCCGATTGGTTCAGCTCAAGGTACACCCCCCTCCTTCTCCCCCCCAATAAACTCAACTTTTGTTGGGACCTGAAGAACAGCCACTGTTCTCTCCTTTGCACAGCTTCGGCCGGTGATCCTTTCCCCTGCGGAGTATATTTTTCTGTTTAAAGACCAACTTACTTCACGAATGACGTCCCAGCTTAATGGTATCTGGTCGAGTCTTCTCTTCCACTTGGGTCTGGTTCTAGGGATTCTCTACCTGCATTTCAACAATCAAAAATGAATCTCAGTTCACTTTCTTACTAGTTCAATCTACGCAGCTTAAACTAACCTTTAAAGATTGAATCAGCTCAGCCTTGGGCTTTTTGACTGTCTATACTTAGCCAGGCAGGTCAGGAGACCAAGTTCACTAAAGAACTAGGATTTAGGCCCTCACCCTGGATAGAACCATCAGCCAAGTTTAGGAGGCAGGAGTCCAGGCTAGGGTCGCTAGCTAGGGGGTCTTGAGTAGGCTTCTATAGCTGTATGGGATCAGGACATGGGTCAAGGCTAAGCCATAAGGCAGGAGCTGGCAATCAGAGGACTGGACTAGAGTCTGGAGCACAATGGACCAATGGGGAGAAATAAGGAATAAGGATGATCCCAGGAAGCCAACAGGCCAGATCCGGGAAACGGGAAACCAAAAACAAACGAGCAGGGCCTAGGACACAGGAACAATCAGGCAGAACCCTGTGATTGGGGAACTAGGAATCAAAGGTAAGAGCTGGGAAACTAAGAACAAGGGGTGAGAAGCCCAAGGTGAAACAGAGAATTACCTTTCCTGTTGTGTAATCTGTTGGGCTCTGAAGAGCTGCAGTTGCCTGCCCATGCAGGCAACTGGGGCCACCTGGGAGTACTTAGGCCACTGGCAGCCAGACCCAAAGAAATTAGGTAAACTCTAAAGGAAAAATATACTCATTTGTCCTTCCTGATTCCAGAAAGATGCAAGGGCTCAAATAGACCCAAGAACTTCTTCAGTGGTACTTGCAATGTGCAGCACATTTTTCTTGCAAATCAGTTTGCCGGATAAAACAGCTTTGGAGGGTGAAATGAAAACTTCAGATTAGGAGCTGAATTTCTAAATACTTTTATGTTCATCCATCACTGGTTAAGGGGACCATGTTTTTTGTTAGCTTTGCACATGTTAATTCTGAGGAGTCCTATAATGTCCATCTCTTGATTTGATCCTTTTTTCACAGTGTGCTCACATGACTTCACAGTTCAACAGAGAATGGTTTATTTTGCTTTCAGTAACATCTGTGGAATTTAACTGTAAAGTTGTGAGTGTGGAGCTCTTGGCCAATTTTTCTCATGTTACAGGCATGAAAGTGCTTCTGGCCTTTGATCAAGTAAATTGGAAGATTCCCATGTTTATGACAGTTTGGCATGTAATAGTGTCCACTATTTATAGGGAATGGAGAGAGGTGCCAAAGTGCTACATCATTCCTGAGTCTCTTCTTACATTACTAAGTGCTGCTTTGCTTTGGCAAGCAGAGGTGTAAAAAGATCACACCCTCTAGCTGACCTACCTGTGCCAGCCAGCCCCTCCCCTGCTTCTCTTCAGGGTGGATACAGTTCTGGCAGCAGAGCTTCTGCCATTCCAGGAAATTGTTGCAATTCTGGCAGTGAGAAAATTTCTTCTGCTAGTAGAGGTACATTGACTTAAGGGGCTTTACCACCACATCACTGCCACCATTGCTATAGCCACAGAAGGCCTATAGGGTAGACTAAACCTTGGAAATACCTCCAAACTCTTTAGCTGTTTAAAAACCATAGAATCATTCTTAAAAGGCATTTTATTTATTTAGAAATGGTGGGATAACATGGAAGAAATAGCCTTTTCTGTCATACTTGCAGAACACACTGCTATGTGTACCAATTGCTACTGATGGGCTTGTAGGCATCTAAAATGCATGCTGCCCATGTCAGTAACATGATTATGATGTCTTATACTGTGTATTAACTCTTACTTGAACCCTTTTCACTGTAACTTGAACTGACCGTATTTTTGTTCGTGCTAGTTTTAGCTCAAGAGTTAGCAACATATCATCTACAGAGCCACCGGATCCAGCCCACAGAGCTGGGGAGAGCTTTGGTGGCAAAAGTTTGGTATCAGTCTAGCAGTGGGGGGGGGGGGGGGAAGGGCTTTGCCCACACCCACAC